AGAAGAATTGTTCCAAAAATAGCAATGGCAGATTTACAGAAATTCTCTCGTTTTGCTCTTACGATTATCAAGTAATTTCACATGGTATCCAGAGCGGGTAACATGGTCGTCTTCCTCCACGCTTAGATCAAGTCAATTCATCGCAGATCCTAGCTATACCTAAAGCTTCCATTTTACAGCAATGGCGCATCGCGATCCCAGGCCGAAACAGGATCCTCTTTCGCTTCATGGATCCGATAATCTTGGTATGATACTTGTCACAAATCCTTTAACTGGTAACAATTTCTTATCCTGGAAACGCTCAATGCTCATCGCTCTTGGAGCTAAGACCAAACTCGGTTTTGTGAATGGAGTTGTGCAAATGCCGGATGTTGATAGTGATGATTATTTGGATTGGAAAAAGGTCGATTGTATGGTTCTGTCCTGGATTTTGAGTTCAATATCAAAAGATATCTCAGAATCGTTTTTATATGCTGAAACTTCCAAGGAATTGTGGGATGATATATGTCAACGTTTTGGTGAAAACAATGGTCCTATGAAATACAAAGTCCAGAGAGAGATCTCTAATCTGAATCAGGGAAATAATACTGTCATGGAATATTTCAATAAATTGAAAAAGTTGTGGGACGAGTATGCTTGTATTGCCCCACTGCAGGTGTGCACTTGTGAAAAAGGAAAAGTTGTAGCGCAACAAGATGCAGAAACTAAACTGATCCAGTTCTTAATGGGGCTAAGTGATGTTTATGACCACGTCAGAAACCAGATTATGCTCATTGATCCTCTACCAACAGTAAACAAAGCCTACTCCATGATACTTACAGCTGAAAGGCAAAGAAATGTTCAAAATGAGTTTGGACCGAGAATTGATAATGCAGCTATGGTGGTCAAAACAGGATATGGAAGAGGAGGCTCTATTACACATGGTAGAGGCAATAATGAAACAAGAGGATGGGACTCTGGAACAAGAGGTAGAGGTTTTCAGAGAATGAGTAAAGAGGAGAAAGCTAAGCTAATATGTGAAAAATGTGGAATGAAAGGTCATAATGTCACTACTTGTTTTAAAGTGCATGGTGTACCAGATTGGTACAAGGAAATGAAGGGACAACAGAATAAGAGCTATGTCAATGCAGCAGAAGTCTCCACTCATGGTGCCAGTCAAGTTGGTAGTGGAGATATGAGGAGTCCAACTAGCACACAAGATTTGGCTTCAGTCATTCAGCAACTTCAAGAAATAACTAGGTATATCAAAGGCAAAGAGGAATCTGAGGCAAAGACAGATTATGCACAACTTGTGAGTTTTGAAGGGAAGGACAGCATGAACAATGTACATTTTGCTCTATCAGCATTGAGTAAGGTATCTGAGGATGAGTGGATAATAGATACAGGAGCAAGTAGACACATCTGCAAGAATGAAGAGATTATGGAGAACATTGAGAGGATCAAAGTGCCAGTGGTTGTATGCTTGCCTGATGGAACTTTAAAAAAGGTGATGTACAAAGGAGATGTGGTTCTGGATGAGAACATTACCCTACAAGATGTGCTGTTAGTGCCCACTTTTAAATATAATTTGCTATCAGTAATGCAACTATGTGATGGGAGCAATTTGAGATGGATATTCTCAGGATCACAGTGTTATCTAGAAGATCAGAAAACACAACAAGTTTATGGTCATGGAAAACTCACAGGAAGTCTCTATGTTTATAGCAAATAGGAAAAAATGGAAAAATGCAATCTGTCACTGATTGATTGGCACAGGAGTCTTGGGCATGCCTCATTCTCCACATTACAGCACTTAAATTTTCTCCAGAAGGATTGCACTGAAGCCAACAGAAGGTTACTACATTCTTGTGACACCTGCTACAAGGCCAAGCAGCATAGACAACCCTTTGCCAGGAGCAGAATTCAGACTGAGCAATGCTTTGAACTCATCCACACAGACATATGGGGCCCTTGCAAAGAAGAGTCTATGACAGATACTTCCTTTTTCTTGACTATAGTGGATGATTATAGTCGAGCAACTTGGGTGTTCTTGCTCAAACAGAAGTCACAGGTTGGGAGGTTGCTCAAAGAGTTCATCATTATGGCTAAAACTCAATTCAACATGAAGGTTAAGAGGGTTAGATCAGATAATGGCAAGGAATTCTATGAGAAGGAGTTGCAAGAATTCTTCAAACACAAGGGTATCTTGCATGAAACAACCTGTGTTTACTCACCACAGCAAAATGGAGTGGTAGAGAGAAAACACAGGCACTTGCTTGAGGTGGCAAGGTCTTTACTCTTTCAAGCACAACTACCTATCAAGTTCTGGCCCTTTGCAGTGCTTACATCAGCATACATCATCAATAGGGTACCTACCTCACTGCTCAACTGGGAGACTCCATATGAAAGAGTGTATCATAAGGTGCCACAATATGATAGACTTAGACCTTTTGGATGCCTAGCTTATGCTGCAAATGTCCATCCTTCTAAAACCAAGTTTGACAGCAGAGGCCAAAAATGCATATTTTTGGGGTATGTGACAGGGAAGAAAGGGTTCCATCTATACAACTTGGACACATGTGACTTATTTGTGGCCAGGGATGTAGTTTTTTTAGAAGATATATTTCCTTTCCAATCACAGGAGCATAAAAGGGCCTGTGTTCAACCAGAAGCTGCAAATGACTTAGAAGAGTCAGAAGAAGAAGATCTTTCTGATTCAAATACAAATCAACATCCTACAGAACCTGAAAGTGATGATGTAAGGAGAAGCACTAGAGTTAGAAAGCCTCCAGTGTGGCAGTCAGACTACATATGTGATCACCAAGATGCTTCTTCATCACAAGTGCAATGCCATTCACATCAGTTCTTGGCAAATATGTTACTTGAGAAAGAGCCAGTTTATTATGGACAGGCCAAAGGACATCCAGCTTGGGTGGAAGCAATGGAGAAAGAACTTCAGGCACTTGAGCTTAATGGAACATGGGAACTGACACAACTTCCACCAGGCAAAAGAGCCATAGGATCAAAATGGGTCTATAAAATTAAAAGGAGAAGTGATGGGACAGTTGAAAGATTCAAAGCAAGATTGGTGGCAAAGGGATATGACCAACAAGAGGGTGTAGACTTCTTTGACATTTTCTCTCCTGTAGCAAAGCTAGTAACAGTCAGAATCTTCATTGCTATTGCCACCATGAAACAGTGGAGTCTCCACCAAGTAGATGTGAATAATGCCTTCCTTCATGGCATTCTCAATGAAGAGGTTTACATGCTTCCTCCACAAGGTTACTCAAAGGCCAAGGCTGGGGAGGTTTGTAAGCTCAAGAAAAGTCTCTATGGGCTTAAGCAAGCTTCTAGAGAGTGGAACAAAGAACTTACTCAGAAATTGTCCATTTTTGGACTAACTCAATCCCCTCATGATCATTGTCTCTTCACTCTTAAGAGGGGCACAGGTTTCATGGCCATTTTGGTCTACGTTGATGATGTTCTATTGAGTAGCAATGATGAGCATATGGTGGCAGAGTTGAAGTCCTTTCTTGACAAAGAATTTACCATCAAAGACCTTGGTGAAGCTAAATATTTTTTGGGAGTGGAAATCCTTAGGGATGCTATTGGAACCACTCTTTGCCAGAAAAAGTATATCCTTGACATGCTAGGTGACATGAACATGCTAGATTGCACTCCTGTTAAAACTCCATTACCTTGTGGTCTAAAATTGAAAGCAGAAGATGGAGAACCATGCAGCAGCCAGAACTGTATAGAAGAGTCATTGGGAGGCTTCTCTATCTTCATCTCACTAGGCCTGATATTACATATGCGGTCCAACAACTAAGCCAATTTGTTAATGCTCCTTACAGCTCATATTGGACAGCAGCCATGCACATCCTCAATTACCTCAAAGGGTCTGCCTCTCATGGATTATTTTTTCCTCAGACAGGATCATTTCTTCTCTCTTCCTATAGTGATGCTGATTGGGCCTGTTGCAAGGACACCAGACGGTCTGTCACAGGGTACTGTATATTTCTTGGCAACTCCATGATATCTTGGAAGACAAAGAAGCAGCAAACCGTGTCCCGTTCTTCAGCAGAAGCTGAATATAGGGCTATGAGCACCACCGTGTCAGAGTTGCTTTGGATCACTTACATTCTGCGTGAGTTCACAATTTCTGTGCCTCATCCTATACCCCTGTGGTGCGACAACAAAGCAACTATTCACATCTCGGCTAATCCAGTCTTCCACGAACGCACCAAGCATCTAGAGATCGATTGCCACTTCATAAGAGATAAATACAAAGAGGGCTTTGTGGAACCTATGCATCTTGCTTCTAAACTGCAGTTAGCCGATATCTTCACCAAAATTTTACCGGCTTCTCAAGCGCGTCTGCTATTATCCAAGATGAACGTGCATCAACCTCGCTCATCTTGACGGGGGGGTGTTGGAATATTATGCGCATATGCAGTATCGAGCTAGTATAGTAGCTGTTCTTATTTTTTCTTGTTTTGAAAAGTTGTCATGCGATTTAATATGTTGTGTTTTTTTTTAAGTTCTAGTGTGTGCGACGTCGTTCTGTGACAAGCACACTTAAGTACCGAAACGGTGTCGTTTCCCTTTGCATGTAGACATTAAATACTGCTCGCCTGCGTATTGCATGAAAAAAAGAAGAATTGTTCCAAAAATAGCAATGGCAGATTTACAGAAATTCTCTCGTTTTGCTCTTACGATTATCAAGTAATTTCACAGAAGCCAAGAACTCGACTTTATGCGCGACGCCGGCCTTCTCAATAAATGGTAAACCGGTTTTGTATGCATCTTTGTTGGTATCGATCGCAATCACCTAATTGTGAAATTAATTATTAACGAGCATCAATCGTTTTATAATACGGTTTAATTAATTTAATAATATTTATATTAATATGATATGATACGACATCATGTACAATAATAGTACGTACCTTGCCGTCGTTAGGGAGAGCAAGAGCAGTGGCCAAAAGCGAGTATCCCGTGAAAACTCCAATTTCGATAGTTTTCTTTGCGTTCATTATTTTCAAAAGCAGAGAAAGAAATTGGCCTTCGTCAACTGGGACATTCATCGCGCTCCTAACGAATATTATTAAGAGAAATTAACAAAAATGGTAAATATATATATGTACATAATAATATAAGGTTATAAATTAGTTAATTAATTAATATTAATTTCATATCTAAATAATTTTATTTGTATTAATTGATGAGTACCAGGTACGTACATTTGTTGGTATTTCTCAACAGAGGCATTCCTGAGTTGTTGGAGCTGTGGATGCTCTCTTGGGTAAGCACTTGTCTCCAAAAGGTACTGCAATATAATACTACCTTCTATTCTTTTTAAATGTCATTCTGGCATTATCAACTATTAACAAAATAAATGTCGTTTTGGATATTTTGTACATATTTTTCCATTATTACCCTCTGTAAACTTCATCAAGGATCTTGAATAAATAATTTGTGTGTATACGAAACACTTACTTGATGCGGAAGACGACATAATTTGTGATCTTGATCTTGATGATCACACGAGGTTGAATTAAGTGTTAGATCTAAATCAGTTTCTCCCTCCTGACCTTCTCTTAATGTAGCAGAAAAGTGATGGGAAAAATACTGCGTACCCTAATAGGAGAAGAGAGGACTAATTTATATAGGGGTGTCTTTAGATCTGGTACGTCCATCAAATATCCAGATTAATGGCTTAGATTTGTTTGACTATTAAATAAGGTCTGGCCCAATAGGATAATTAAATGTGAGCCTAATGCTTTCGGGCCACATATTCTTACATTCTCCCACTTGGTCCGAAAGCCCAAAATTTAATAGTATAACATTAGGTGCACATAAACAAATCTCGTTATGCCATACATCATAATAAACTATGACATGATAAACCATATAGTGAGAGTTATGGCGGTTGTACACTCTCGATTCGCATACTTCCTTCCATATACTACTACACTAATAGTTCAACACATCAAGTTCCATAATTATATATAAATATCATAATGTCCACTTAATTGTCATGAAGACATTCATTTCTTGTTCTAAACATAATGTATACAAAAATCATAATGAACAAGAAATTCGATAATAGTCAGAAACATAACATCAATGAGCTCAAGAGTGTGCCATAACATCATCATGATCAATCATCAATACAACCAAGACCCATTCTATGTACATGTTCTTTAAATGTCTTTGGTTGTAGACCTTTAGTTAACGGATCAGCAATCATAAGGTCCGTTCTTATATGTTCGATGCACACTCTTTGTTTCTGAACTTCCTCTTTAACGGCAAAATACTTTAATTCCATGTGTTTTGCACCCTTGGAATATTTGTCGTTTTTGGAGAAGAAAACTGCTGCGGAATTATCACAATACAATTTCAGCGGCTTGGTAATGGTGTCGACAACCCCAAGTCCTGAAATAAAGTTCCGCAGCCATAATGCATGAATTGTAGCCTCAAAACAAGCCACAAATTCAGCCTCCATAGTAGATGCAGCTATGACAGATTGTTTGGCACTTTTCCATGAAATTGCTCCTTCGGCGAGGAGAAAAACATAGCCAAACGTTGACTTGCGACTGTCAAGGCACCCAGCAAAATCTTAATCTGAATATCCAATCACCTCAAGGCGATCAGATTTCCTAAATGTGAGCATATGA